ATATATATATATATAAAATAGATTAATAAAAGATAAATATGCAAAACTATTAGAATGATGAGTTCTAAGTCTTTTGTCTTTACAATTATTGAAAATTATAAGTATGTAGTTGAATTAATTATATTGATTCTTATTAAGTAAATTATACGATTTTAATCATGTAAGTATCTACATTACGTGCAACAAGCCGATAGTTCTAATGTTAATCTAAAACATCGAGAAGATCAATTTGGTAACAATGCATTTCGGACAAACTATCTTCTGTCTACTTCAGTATAATTAACTAAAACTTTTTCGCGCCCAACATTAATTTACTTCCTAACTTACTTACTTGGCATACTGGAAAGTTCAAGAATATAACGATCCATTAGATTCCCTGCAATTCCGCTCCTTTTTGGCACGCGTTTCAAACATTCGGATTCTTGCAAACGATACAAATGGCGCATAGTCAAACATTCTGTTGTTCGTTAGAAAGAGCGAGTCAAGGAGAAAAAAATTTGATCTTTAACATTGGTGCAACAATATATGCTAGCACATTATTGATTTGTTAACTATTTTTCTAATTATCAGACATCTAATTGTTTTTACTTTTTTTTTCAAACATTAAAAGATTTTTTGAAAAGCATAACTCAAATGATATTCTATTAATTCTTGGTATGAAAATTACGCGCATAGTGTAACTTATCTATTATGAATTTTTATTAAGATATATCGGCTCATATTGTGATTTTAGGATAGAATTACCATTATTATTCTGAATGTGGAAAACTCGATAACACGCTTGTATTTCGGTCGAAGTTAATCTGTTGCGATAATCTTTATAATTACGAAGACTTCCGTGAAGCAAAAGTAAAGTGGAATAACGATCCAGAATGTAAAAAGAACCGGCGAAGTCAACGGGATTTAATTGCTGTGTTACTCGTGTAATCGCGAGTTTCCAATCGATCGAATACAAGGTATGTATTCAGTTTGATCACCGCTCCATAAACAGTCGACGCCATGTTTAAGAAATGGCGCAGAAAAAACGTGTACAATCTAATATGTATGTAGTTCCACTGGTTAAATTATAATCGCTCTGACTTGCTTTAACTTATAAATATCTGCAAAAAATTCGAAATATGTTTAATGAATTTAAATATTCAAATTTCCAAATCTTCAGCAACACTTTAGATTTAAGCTTCATTGTCGTGTAGGAAAACGTAAGTAACACAGAAATTAACTTTTGTTTGTCGGAATCTTTAATGACGGTTCGACAATGAATAAAAGCGCGTATCTAAAAGAACGGAACGGTCGTAAAATATACCTACGTTTGATAGTAGCACACAGAATTATTGTCCATTTCTTAGGCTTTTACGTATTGTTAACGTTCTTGTAATAAATGCGCGAACATGAACCGATAACGTGGACTGTTTGATTGATGCTTCCATTCTGAATAATCAGGAATGTTTCTCTGTAACCGAAGATAATGAGTGTGCATGCTTAATGAGATGCGATATCGTTCTTGAGGCGTACAAACTTACAACTAAATTAATCGTTTCCTCTTTTGTTTTTCATAAAAATTCCTCAAAGAAAGAGCGACGTTAACTCTTTCCAATTTGAATTTCAACTTAACATTTTGTCGACTTAAAGAACGAATTATTTATATAAGAAATAATCACCACAGCTATGGAACAATATCTTTTTCCACGAATCTTAAATTTTGGTAACGTTAGTTATTCCAATGCAGATAATGCACGTGCTGCTATCTTTTGTGCAAGTACGCGCGCGCGCGTTTGAAAGCTCCGAGTTATAAAAGCAAACGGATCGGCGTTGTCCAATCACCGTTGATCGAGCGTGAAATCCCTCCTCTTCGACGAAATTAGACACCCACTTGGCGTTTCCAACTTCCACGGGTCTTAGCCAAAATAACCAATGATAGTTTTTCCAGTGGAAACTAAAATAAACCTCGTTTCAACCACCATTTATACAAAATCTGCGACACCGTTATTTCACAAAATTGCTATTATTTTTTCATCTATTTCTATGATTTTTTTTAACCTCTGTCGATAAAGATGTGATACCTGACAAGTGAGATTCACGAAACTCTAAAAACTTGTTGAATTCTTAGCTCAGTTGTCGACATACACGCCGTGTTTTTTCTTTTGACGTTTAGGCAAGTATAACATAATGAACACCGTGGCGGCATGACGGCTTGTTGCTTTGAAATATGAATATCCCCTTTTCCATTCTGCGGTAAGATACTCCGCCCCAATACTCTATTACTCCCTAGTCAAAGGAGCGTAGACTCTACCCACGGAAACCGCTTCTTTGGAAGTCGTTCAGTGTCAGTTTTCTATATTCTCATTAATATCAACATCAACAGCGCGCCGCTCTCAACCGGGAATAAGAAAGGGGAATACTGCTTGATCATCGTAATTTCTTTTACCTGAAAAATTTTCATAAATAAATTTTTTTCTAAAAGAAAGAATTTAAATGAAATTATGAAATAATAATCGTAAAAGTTAGATTAACTATTAATCAAGATAGATAATAATTTATTAATAAATGTAAACTTGATATATTAGTTATATATATATAGCACAGTTCCTGGCCAATCAATTAGGATTGCATTTTTCATTTCTCTAAGTTGGTAATAAAAATTACTAAATATTATGGTAATTAATAAATGTTACTATTAGAGTTTATCTACTTGCACTGCAGATTGAAAAATATTGGAATCTTTGAATGGCCCATGATCATATCCTACTTGAGATTATACTTGGAGGTGTACCTGAGTATTAAAAGACGAATAGAGTAATTTATTTCAGATGTAAGAGCTCCATCTAACAGTTTCAAGTTATAATATCAGAGGAGTGGACAGACATTGGCCGTGAATAGCTATATAAATTTCCACGACGAATACACGTCAGTGGTTTTTCAACGAACGTGAAGATTCATGCACGAGATAAAGGTGTTTTCGGACGTTGTATTCAGTTACGATCCCTCCCCGTTTAAAATACTGTGACTGATAGCGAGCTTTCTACTCACGCGGCACGCCGTGCTCGCGAACTCCGTCGCGCTCGATTACGAGCTACGCCATGACGAAGATACGCTAATAAATTAACGGGTAAATAAACCCTGTGCGAGGAAACGGGCCGCGTCGCGTATCTTCCTCGCCTAGAATAGAATAGAATGTATTAGAAGAGCACGAGCACGATTAATGGACTGAAATTTTGTGCAAGTGGAAAGGTGTAGCGTCAACCTCGAACCGCACAATTTCCCGAGAACGTAAGTGGCTGAAGTGATAGAATAACCATTCCGTGCTTTGAGAAATGTGAAACCACAAGTAGGATACTCTTGACAGTTACCTGATTACAAGCGAGCTCTCCTTTCATGAATGTATTGTAGTGTTTTCGTCGAAAGTAGGAATGAATCTCTATTCTAAATATTTAAGCATAAATAAAAAGGATATAGATATTGTGGAACTCGAGGAACTCAATGGTCGAACAGGGCAAATGCATTTTCTTTCTAGAAAAAGATATGTAGATACAGAAAAAAGATATTATATAGATGTTTTTTTTTAAAGAATTTCTAAAATGTTTACCTAGATTTTCCTTAATTTAAGAGATTGTCATCTCTATCATACTTTGATCTTGGTAACACTAACCTAACATGCTCTCAAAACGGGATTCTTCTCTTTATGTTCTTTCATCTCGTCGGCAATTTTTACGATGGAGAATAAGGAAAAGAAAAAAAAAAGGATAGAATGGAACGTGATAATTAAGAAAATGTCCCATTTCCGTGATCCAGCGTGTTCCTTTCGTCTGGAGGCGAGTCTTTGGCGCGTTTTCCATTCGGTGTACAAATAGCTCGCAGACGCCTAGCTTCTGTCGGCTCTCTCATGTCCCCGCGACGCGTCGCGTCGCACGCTTCATGCTTCTGCGCTATCCGATGTCGAGCGTCGCCGCTTTAACTTTTAATCTGTTTCCTTTTATCGCTTTCATGGACGAGCGTTGGATAATATGCGAGATAAATTCATATATTTGCTTCGTCTGTTCTTCAAAGCGATTTTTTGACAGAATTATTTGTCAATTAGAAAAGTAGTGGAATAGAAAGAATTGTATTTCGGTAGTGTATAATGAAAGAAGTATTTTCTTTTATCATACTATAAATCTATTTCAATTTTAGCAAGTTATATATCGTTATACAAGATAAATTCTATATTTTAATTATAAAGATGTTAATTTTTTACTATCCTTATTATGTTTTATTAGAAGATAAAATGAATAACATGTCAGAATATTTTATCGATTTTGATGTAAATACAGAAACTTGTTTACTACCGCCATGTGAATGCACCTCGTCTGTGCTACCGCCTTCAATAAGGATCGGTAATGATTTTTATATAGTTAATTATAACTGTGGTAATATTTGATGTTACTTACAATAATTGAATTTTTAAACAATATCTTAGTAAATATTCTGTAATGAGGTTACTATTTACTATCCCAAGGAGTTATTTTGCTGAAGTGCAAAGGGAATAGAAGGAAACAAGACGACAGCAGAGAGACGCATTAGCCATATTCCGAGGTTGCATGGCGGAACGCCCCTTTCATACCATCCCCTCCTACCTTAGAATATCGTAGAAAGAGAATTTACCAACAAAGAGTTACACATTCTGCGTATAAATTAGTAAATAAATTACAACGCTTAATCTTGCTTCTTTCTAAATTGTTCCATCTCTTATTACCAAATGTTTTACCAATTCAAAGATATCTAAACTCGATTGAATCAATTAATGAAGTGATAGGCAATATATACTTCATCTTTTATTTGAAAATTAATTTAATTTGAAAAGTCTTAATTATAATTTAATCCATTTACAAAATAAGAAAATGTATGCATACCAAAATTGTCTGAAGAATGTAATAAAAATATTACGTATTCCGCATGGATAAATACTCCAATTTGGGCGAATTCTAAATAAAAATGAAACGAGCATGCGCGTAGAAAGGTGTCTCATTTTGAGTTTGTTTAGAAATTTATTTCGTTCAAAAATTTGTTTATTTCTTATTTAATAAAGAATTAAAACAAAAATTATTGTTACTAAGATAATAAATTGAGATTGGTTTTTTATAATAAGTATCTATTAATATTGCTACAGAGAAAAGTTATCCGCTTTTAGTATCGGCATGAATTAACGTTTAATGTACTTACGTCATATACAATTAAAAAAAAATGAAACAAAAAAATATAAATCTTTATAAGAATTTACTACACTATGTCATCAAGATATATACTCGAGGTTGGAATTTATATTTTATTCTACGATACACGTAAAGCATTAAATCATTTATTCAATGCTTCTTTTCCTCGTATATGTATTAAAAGACAGATACTGATACAAAGAAAACAACGAGCGTACTATTTTACATGTTTTTCAATCTACAAACGTATCGAATCAATTTACGACTGTTCATCGACATACTTATTCCTTCATCAGGATTTTTATCCATTCTACTTACACGATGGTATTTAGTTAAATAATATTCTATAACAGCCATGATACAAATATATAACATTTAAAAAATATGGGATTCCAGTGAAATACAACTACCCCCGATTGTATGTTTCTTATATCTAAGAGAAATCTAAATAATGTCCGGCATTTGACGTATGATGAAAAAATGAGTATGTAATTTGATGGAAGGAATGAATTTATATTTATATGATAACAAGTAAAAATGAAATCTTTTCTTCCTTTGAAAATTGTAAACTGTTTATACTTGTGTTGTGTAAGAAAACATTTTTTTCTTCGTTGGACCATTCAATGTACGTAATATGTACAGTCATTGTAAGTACATTTAATACTAGCCATTATTTTCATCCTTTACTTCATCTACTTTTATTTCATCCTTCTTTTCAATATCATTTGTGTTTTCGTAATTTTCATCCTTGTCAGATTTTATGGAAACATCAGCCGGTTCGTTATTCTCTGATTCTAAGTTTTTCTCTGGATTTGGATCACGATTTTCTTCTCCTTCTTCCGTTGATTGCGGAACTTCCGCTGTTGTATTTAATGTTGCCGATCCATCGAAATTCTGTTGATGCTTTCCAAGACCTACTTGTACTTCTATAAGTTCGAGCTCTTCAATCAGTGCCTTCTCTCTTCTTTCAATTTCCTCTGTAAAATAAAACAAATGCATATTGCGATTCTTTCTATTTAAGACTCAATGCAAAATTCCTTATCAAAGTGCGTACCATGTAGTTCTTTTGCAGATTGTGCTAATAATACATCAGTTTGTGGATGTTTACGCTTTGGTACGTAATAAATAGGAGGTTGGGCACGTGTTTTTATAAACGAAGCAAGTGGTAATTGTGCAGCGCGCCAATCCTGAAATTGTCGGCTGCGTGCCAACTTTGCTTCCAACGCTCGGACTTCCGCTAGTTGCCGTTTACGAGACAGGAACAATTGTTGTCTTTCTCGTCGTAATTCTTCCTTTTCTCTCCTTCTAGCTTCCTCTACTCGTGCTTCTACTTCTGCCTTTTTATCTTCCTGCAAACGGTCGGTATTTTTAAAAATATGCAACAAAACATTTGTCATAATGATTAAAAATATACTTTTGCTTTCAATTTAGTTTCTTCCTGTCGAAATTTTTGTAACGTTCCTAAAAGAGCCCCAAACATTCGTTTATTCCTTTGTCTGCTACGTTCGTCTATTCTTTCACGTCTAATAACTTCCTGTCTAGATGGAATTTCTCTCGGTGTTGCTATCACTCTAGAAGACACTGCCGGCTAAAATAAGTGCATAATAATAATATTTAAAATAATCTATTAATGAGCATGAGTATATTAATTGTTATAGATTCCTACCTTAATAACATTGTCATCTTCATCAGCACTATCGTCATTGTTAGAAGGTACACGTGCACTTAATCGACTGAAAACAGTTTTTGGTTCACCATTTGAACCTTGCCATCTCCTTTTTCCACCAGGTAGCTCGTTGTTGATAAAATCAGAAACAACACGTCTTCTATCCTCTTGCAATGGTCTCTTTTGTGATAATCTATTGAAATTGTAAATGCACAAGATACACATACAGGGTACAAGATATACATACAATCTTCTCTTTTTCTTTTAATAAGATTACGTCGATATATTGAAGCTATTCGTGAATATTTATTACAATTAATATTTATTACTTAACATGTTTACACACTGTCATTACGATATTATTACGATGTTATAAATAAATGCAATGGGATCACGCATAATTTAATAAAGTGATATGAGCTCGATAAGAAATAGGTTATGTTTGTAGACAATAATGTTTCATTCAACGATCAATGAACTATCACAAAATTTATGTTTCACGATACAACATTCGCCCACGATGTTTTAAGAGCATTTGAAAGCAAATTATTCAGAATTTAACCTGGGTGGTGGTTGTAGCGGGCCGTTCTCTCCATCAGGGAGATCCCGGCCCAAAATTTTTCGAATACTCCGATCGAGTCCTCGAAGACCATCTCGAGCGGCTTCTAATTGCGCTTCTAACCTCTCGGCACCCCATGCCTCTTGCACGTCTAATTTTCTCATTTATTTACTTCTTTTCACGCTTACTGAAATTGTAAAGCCAATTTATTTGACGAACTACGACGATTGTTGTCGAACCGCATTACTGTCGTGGAGCCACCTACAATTTCGTTCCTTTTTCCAAATCGATAAGTCTCGGGATTTTTCCTTTCGCTTGTAGATCATACTTCTAGTAAATTTCTCATAATGCCAATTTAATACATTGCGCAATTGGATAAATTTAATTGTTAATCGTCTAATTTTTGCGATATTTTAAAGTTTATTGCAAATTCTTAGGCCAAAGGAAGAAATAAAAGAAACGAGAATATTAACTTTTGAAACATATTTTTTACTAACTAAAATTGCAACATCATATTTATGTATATACTAATCGAAAATATGATTTTATTAATTAAAAGAGATGTAAAAATATATTCTATATCAGAACAAAAATAATTCAATTTACATTTTAAGTATTTTTATTATAAGTATTTCCCTATTCTTTTATTACACATATATGTGTTATATCTATGTGTAATATTTGTTGGCGGGCAAATTACAACCTTTACACACGTTCTTTAAGTATCATATTGCCTTGTTAAATAATAACTACTTTTCTTATTTAAATAGGAAACATGTTGTTTAGAATTAATTAGCTATTTACAGTTTACATAATTAATTATTGTACAAAATGACAAGTTTACAAAATACAGGAAAATTTCGACCGTTTAAAGGAAATGCAAGGAATGATCAAAATCAAGAAAGAAATGTGTCAGGGTAATTTAATTATAATTTAAAATATATTACAAACTATCATGTTTTTTCAATTTATCCATTCTTTTATACGTTCTTTTAGTGAAACTTCAGGAGGTAACAGGTTAAATGAAGTTAATGAAAATATAAGAATAGATGGTTTATATGGATTTTACAATATAACTGATACAAAGGAAAGAACAGGATTTCTTATAAATATGCATGCAGTAAGTATAGAAAATATAAAAAATATGATTAATTGCTTTGTAATTATTCTTTAAATTATTATATTTTTTTTATAGACAGAAATTATGGAAGATGATAAGAGATTACAAAGTGGTGTGGATTATTATTTTTTAGAAGAAGATTGTAGTAGATTTAAAGTCTCGTATCCTTATAATCCATATTTGTATATTTTATGCAAAAAGGATACATATGAAGAAGTTACTACTGGTTTAAATAAAAAATATCCTGATTTCATACTTAAAATAGAGACTGTGTACAAAGAAGATCTCGATTTGGTATGATAGGATTGAAAGAAAACATAAAAGATGTTAGACTTAATAATTTTCCAATGTCTCTTTTTAGCCAAATCATCTAATTGGTTTAAAACAGAAATACTTAAAAATTTCTTTTATTAATACTGTGGATTTGAATAAAATCAGACGTGACATTATGAAGGCAGTAAAGATAAATAAAGAACGTGAAAAAAATAATACTTATTATTCAGACATGTTGTCAAATGTACTACATACTGATCAGGATGCAGGAGACATTAAAAAGAAAACCATAGATTTTATGGATAATATTCTTGACATCAAGTAAAAATTCTAATGTACTTTTATTTATATGCTGAGTATAGTCTTTGTGTTAATAATATGCATTTGTATAGAGAATATGATGTGCCACATCATGTACGTGTCTCTATAGACATGAAAATTTGTTGTGGTAATTGGTATTCTGTGAAATCAAGAGGAAATGATGTACCAATTATTACAAAGAGAGATGATCTTATTGAGCCACCTGATCCAATTGTGTTGGCATATGATATTGAAACGACAAAACTTCCTTTAAAATTTCCAGATGCTGATACGGACCAAATTATGATGATCTCATATATGATTGATGGACAAGTATGAAATCCTTTAACTTTAATATTTAATAATTTTTTGTATGTGTATGATATATTTTAGACATTAGCTGTAGATATATTATGTATTTTATAGATATATTAGATATATTAGATACATTTATATTTTCAGGGATATTTGATAACAAATAGGGAAATAATTTCGTGTGATATTGAAGATTTTGAGTACACTCCAAAACCGGAGTTTGAGGGATTTTTTACAGTTTTTAATGAACCTAATGAAAAAGCGACGATAAAAAAATTTTTCGATCACATAAACGATATTCGACCACATATATTCGTAACATACAACGGTGATTTTTTCGATTGGCCATTTGTAGAAACTAGAGCAGCTTTTCATAATATGGATATGAAAAATAGGATTGGTTTTTCCAAAAATCGTGATGGAGTTTATAGTTGTAGGCCAGCCATGCACATGGACTGTTTGAGGTATTGTAATTTATAAAATTAAATTCATTTAAATTATCGCATAGAAAAAGAAAAAAAAGATGATTGACAGAGAATTGCTTCTAATATATAATTTAATATTGTAGTTGGGTAAGACGCGACTCTTATCTTCCTGTGGGTTCTCAGAATCTAAAAGCTGTAGCAAAGGCGAAGTTGAGATATAATCCAGTGGAATTGGATCCTGAAGATATGTGCAGATTGGCATCTGAGGAACCAGAGTCTCTTGCAAACTATTCAGTTTCAGATGCAGTTGCTACATATTATCTTTATTACAAATATATCCATCCTTTCATATTTGCTTTGTGTACCATTATTCCTATGGAACCAGATGAAGTAAGTTAAAACAAGCCAAATTAAGTAAAGACAATATAAATTATTGTAACTAAATTTCTTTATTTACAGGTACTTAGAAAGGGATCTGGTACATTATGCGAATCTCTTTTAATGGTACAAGCTTACCAAGCTAATATTATATTTCCTAATAAACAAGAGCAAGAATTAAACAAGTTAACAAAAGATGGTCACTTATTGGACCAAGAAACATATGTTGGAGGACACGTTGAAGCTTTAGAATCAGGTGTTTTCAGAGCTGATATTCCTTGTCGATTCAAAATAGTACCGAATACAATAGATGAATTAATAAGTGGCGTCGAATCTGCATTAAAGCATGCTATACAAGAAGAGGAGAAAGTATCCATGGATATGGTTACAAATTTTGAAGAGATAGTTGAAGAAATTACAGTGAAGTTGAAAGCTCTAAGAGATCAACCACTGAGATTAGAAAATCCAGTAATTTATCACTTAGATGTCGGTGCTATGTATCCAAATATTATTTTAACCAATCGTCTACAACCATCTGCAATGGTCAATGAAACTATATGCGCTGCATGCGATTACAATAAACCAGGAGCACTTTGTCAGAGAAACATGCAGTGGATGTGGAGAGGAGAATATTGTAAGACGTATAAATAAAATTTATTAGAATTCAGTCTATATAGAAACATGTGTTTTTGCTTAATTTCAGTTACTGCAACTTTAAGTGAATATCAGCGAATGCAGCAACAGCTTGAAAATGAAAAATTTCCACCGCAATTCCCGGGCGGTCCTCGCAGAGCATATCATGAATTATCTAAAGAGGAACAAGCATCATATGAGAAAAAGCGACTGACAGAATATTGCAAGAAAGCTTACAAGAAAGTTAAAGTTACTAGCATGGAAGAAAGAACGCAAACGGTATGTCAAAAAGAAAATTCATTTTATGTTGATACTGTACGAGCATTTAGAGATAGAAGATATGAATATAAAGCTCTTACTAAAATTGCGAAACAAGAAGTAGCGGTAGCCATAGCAAAAGGAGATGCTGCTGATATCAAGTCTGCTAAAAGTCGAGAAGTACTATATGATTCGTTACAACTTGCTCACAAATGTATTTTAAATTCCTTCTATGGATATGTCATGAGAAAAGGGTATGTACATATATATATTTTTTTTCTATTCTTTTTGTATTTAAAATTATTAACATGATGTTTACATCAACATATTAGATCTCGATGGTTTAGTATGGAGATGGGTGGCATAGTGTGTTATACAGGGGCACATATTATTATGAAAGCTAGAGAGATTATAGAGCAAGTTGGTCGTCCTTTAGAGTTAGATACAGACGGAATCTGGTGTGTTTTACCAGCATCTTTTCCTGATAATGTAGTTGTTCATACCACCCACCCAAAAAAAACAAAATTAGTAGTGTCATATCCAAATGCTGTTCTTAATTTTATGGTGAAGGTAAATTATAATTGTAGTAAAATTTTTGATTTACTATAGTTTTTTTCGTGCACTATTTTCATATTATTTGCAGGATCAATTTACTAATGACGTATACCACGAACTTGTTAATTCTGAGAATTTAACATACAAAATTAGGAGTGAAAATTCTATATTTTTTGAAGTGGATGGTCCCTATTTGGCTATGGTATTGCCTGCAGCGAAAGAAGAAGGAAAAAGATTAAAGAAACGATATGCAGTTTTTAATTTCGACGGTTCTTTGGCCGAATTAAAAGGTTTTGAAGTAAAACGAAGAGGTGAACTCCAGTTAATAAAAGTTTTCCAGACGTCTGTATTCGAGTCTTTTTTAAAAGGTAGCACATTAGAAGAGTGCTATGCATCAGTAGCTAAAGATGCAGACTATTGGCTTGATATTCTTTATAGCAAAGTAAATATGCAATATTGTTGATTTTATTAAATTGAATATATTAAATAAACAAATAATTAAAAATCTTTATAGTGTGCAGATATGCCAGACTCGGAGTTGTTTGAACTTATATCCGAAAACAAATCAATGTCACGTAAATTGGAGGAATATGAAGGCCAAAAATCTACATCCATTTCTACTGCTAAAAGATTAGCTGAATTTTTAGGTGATCAAATGGTTAAAGATGCCGGTTTAGCATGCAAATATATTATTGCTAATAAACCTCAAGGTGCACCAGTTACAGAACGGTAAGAGTGAAATCTCGCTTTTGTATAAAAATTATATGATATAAAATTATATATCATAATTGTGTCATATATTATATTACATAATTAAATATATTACATTGTTAGAGCAATACCATTAGCTATATTTCAATCGGAACCAGCAATTAGAAAGCATTATTTACGAAAATGGTTAAAGGATCCTAGTTTACAAAACGACGATATACGGCACATTTTAGATTGGAGTTATTATATTGAAAGACTCGGAAATGCTATTCAAAAAATTATTACAATTCCGGCAGCAATGCAAGGGGTATTTATCGTATTAGATATGCGAAATTTCTTAGTATTTAAATATTCATTAGAACAATTAATTTCTTTCCTAGTTGTCCAATCCAGTTCCTAGAGTAAAACATCCGGATTGGTTGCATAAAAGAGTAATGGAAAAAAGTGCAACGCATAAGCAAAAAAAGATTACTGATTTATTTACTGTACTGCCTAAAGACAAAAACGAAGATAACAATGCTCAAGATATAGAATCATGTGATATTGAAGATATGGCAGGGAAAGCTTCAACATCTAAGCAATCGTTGCCAATTGTCAATAAAAGGAAACGACAATCTTTAGAAGGAAATGAAGTAGAAAATGCAAATAAAAGTTGGAAAGAGGTTTTAGGTTCACCACCACCAATGGGAACAACAAAGGAGGAAAGATTAAAATGGTTGGAATTTCACAAACAAAAATGGGCTTTCCAAGCTAAGCAAAGGGCTGGGTATCAGAAGAGTAAAAAGAGTAAACGTTCTAATAATGATAGAGATCAAGTTAATTGGAGTATTACAAAAAATACCAATACATCCACATTGGGTGGCTTTTTGAGGCGAAATCAAAAAAAATTACTTGTAACTCCATGGCAGATTATTCAAGTAGGAATAATGTTCTTTATAATAACGGTATTTAAATAGCTATATCCAATGATTTAAATAATTAATTGATCGATTTAGATATCACCGACAAACAAGCCTGGTTTATATCGATTGTGGGTATTAGTCGATAAAGATCTCCATCAGTTGCGTCTTGTGGTGCCTCGTATATTTTATGTGAATACTCGTAAACCTAAACCTGATCCAGAACCAGGTAAAAAAGTATCCTGGAAGAAAAGCATGAAAGTTCTTCCACGATCTCGGCCTATATATAATTTATATCAATATACTGTACCGGAAATACAATTTCAACTATACAGTCAGTAAGTTTCATTCTTTAAATTTGGTATTTTATACTTATCTAAATTATAATTATCTAAATTATTTTAATTTGTTTATAGAGAGCTTTTAGAAGATATGAGTAAACCAGAAATTGAAGGAATTTATGAAACTCAAATGTCACTAGAGTTTAGAGCTATTCTTCAATTAGGATGCGTTTGTACAGTTGATCCCAAAGCAGCACGTAACATGGCAGATGGTGCAGACACATTTACCTTAGATCAATTAGAATTCAAGAGTATTGCTACGCAACCATATCTTCAAAATGTAATGATATTTTAATTTATATTTTTTCTTTGATCTAAAAAAATATCTTTCATTTTAGCTCCATGAAATTAATTATATTTTCTTGTATCATCATTGGAGTTCAAATCATCAAAGAGCTTTATGGGGCCTATTTTTGAATGCAAGTAAAAGAGCACATATATTCGTTTTGGATTCTGTGTCGTCAAATCAAATGCCTAACATGAATACATTGTACACTCAAGAACGGGATACAGCGTAAGATTTACAAAATCAAAAGAGTTGAATTAATAAATTATCAAAATAATTATAAAATAATTCTTTTGCAGGATATCTGTGAATGGAGAAGATAAAATAAAATTTTTACCTACATCGATGCAATTCATTGTAAGATTTGAAACAGATTTTCAACAAATTTGTCGTATCTTACAAGCAGCTATAACTACATATAAAAATGAAGGACATGGAACAACAATATTTATTATTCAAACAGCTTTAGGTAAATTACAATTGTAAATTACAATTTGTACAGAAACTTCTCATTGTTAAATTTTTGTTGGTAACTTTTTTTTGTTTATATTATCTTTTTTATGTTTTTATTTTAGATAAAACGGCATTAGCAACTCAGATGCCATTGCTTAATGACTTTCCTTTAATTAACACTTATGTACAAGATATCGAAAATTTATATAATACATTGGAATGGCAGAAAGTTGGAGCAAAAATGATGTTACGTCATTACTTTAAGAGTCAACAAATTTTTGAATTAATGTCCGAACAATGTAGATTCTTTCACGCACCAATCGGGAATATTCCCGCGGATCCCATTATTTTTGGCGCAGACTTATTTTTTGCAAGGCATTTACAAAAGAATAACTTTGTATTATGGTGTTCTCAAACGGAAAAGCCAGATTTAGGCGGTAGTGAGAATGATGATAACAGGTTACATTTACATTCAAACATAAAATTTAAATTATTATCATTGTTTTAATATATGGAATTAATTACAGATTATTGACAGATTTTGAAGAAAGTACACATTGCGCTGCTAATAATGCTGGGACTTATTCTAGTGTTTGCATTGAATTAGAGGTAGAAAATTTAGCAGTAAATACTTTATTACAGCATCATCATATCCATGATATTGATGGAACAAGTAATTTTGTTGCCTTTCACATTCAACAACAAACATCTATTCAAGTGCGTAATTTAAAGAAAAATGCATATTAAAAGGTATATATATTTATATATAACTTAAATTTTTTTAGGATATGGCAACAGGAGATGGTATGACTAGTATAATTCCTAATTACGACGAAACGATTCTTTGTAATCTTGCTTTTAAATCATTGCGGAGCATGGTAAATACATGGCTGTTAGATGTATCAGTTTATAAAAATGTATTCGCAGATTATCAAATCATTCATTTTTACAGGTAGGCATATTTATCTAACGTTTTACATCTATTCTTTATAATTCGAAAATTTATATTTTTAGATGGTTGCGTTCACCTAATTCTTTACTTTATGATCCTGCATTAAGAAGAACTTTGCATACTTATATGAAAAAATTATTCGCACAATTATTGGCAGAGTTTAAAACTTTAGGATCTATCATTATTTTTGCGAATTTTAATAAAATCATTGTTTGTACTAAGAAAAGAACAGTGAGTGATGCATTAGGCTATATGGAATTCGTCGTTCAAACAATACGTAATAAAGAAATTTTCCACAGTATTGAAATAACTTTTGAACAGTGTTGGGAGTATTTAATATGGCTTGATGTTGTAAGTAAAATTTCAATTTTTACGTTATTATAATAAATAACGTAGTTTAAACCTTAATAATACTTTAAAACATTTGTATAAATCAATAGCATAATTTTGGTGGTGTGAAAGGAGAATTACCAAAAGATATGCAAGAGAATACTGAAAGTACAAATGATGGAAATGCTGAAGAAGAGAATGAGGATGAAGTAAGTATACATGAAATTTTTTGTTGTTTTCTGTTTACGATATTTTTATTGGATTTGGTTTGTTATTAAGCCTGAAATAATAATGAACTGGAATTTGATGGAGTGTCTTCCCAAAGAAGCTGCGTGTCGATCAAGTTTTACTGCTATAATAGCAGGGTATATCCATGCGATTTATCAATTTATGTTAGAAAACGAATTAAATACGACTGTAAGACCCAAGAAAAGATCAAGCAATTTAAGTCAGTTATCAGGTCAACTTGGATTAGGATCACTTGAGAATACTGCAGATTTTGCTAAAAAACTTATAAAGGGAGATATGTCTCAAAAACTATTTCAGTAAGTATAATTCTTTCGTTTCATCACTATGTCAAGAAATTGATTGTCATATTTTATTTAATTATATTATAGAATTGTACAGAAAATACATAAAAAACTTCCAGAAAAAATATTAACAATTGAAGAATATCCAAATTTAGATTTAGATGATAAAGATAACAAGAGAATTAATCCAGCATTGGAGTTAATTAAATCAGTTTGTAAGGTATGGGTATGACTATGTTATAATTATATTATAAAAAAAAAGACTGAAAATTAATTTTAATTTCAGGTTTTATCTCTGGACATGGAAGTTGAAAACGAAGTATATAATTTACAAACAAATATGTTGAAACTAATTAGAGTTGGTAGTTTCAGTGATCTAGTTGAATGGAAAGATCCATGTATTTCTTTGATTTTACCTGAAATTATTTGTAAAGTCTGTAACCATACAAGGGACATTGATCTTTGTAAAGATAATTTTTGTGTTATGGAACAGGATAGGTAATGCATAGTATTATAAAAGCTACATATATGTCTTAATATATAACATGACTGTTTCTGCAGGTATATATGGAAATGTCCTCTTTGTAAAATGGATTATGACAATGAAGAAATAGAATTCCTTTTGATGGACATAGTAGATCGTAAAAGTATGGCTTACATATTGCAAGATTTACAATGTCGTAAATGTAAAGAAATTAAGAGGGAAAATATGAATGAACTTTGTTCTTGTTCTGGTAACTTTAAGACTTTGATTTGTAAAAGTGAAATAGAGAAATTTATGAAAATCTGTAAATCTGTAGCCATAAAATCTAATATGAAAACATTATTGGAAATAATTCGAAATACAAAACTTCTTATAGACTCAAAGTAATTTTATAAACGTACTTAGAATTAAAATTGGAAATCAAATTTATAGATTTCTATTGTAACTACTTGTAATTTAATTAGTATTAAGGAAAATACAATTTAATATGTTTAATATTTATAATTTTACATATATATATTTTTACAATTATTTATCAAGTGTAACAATTTTAATATAAATGTTCTAATTTCATATATAAGGAGTTACATAATGCGTTTATTTTTCGACTACCGCAGCTGAAATAAAAGATTCTTTATGTTTTAAAATAAATATAAAAATTAATGAAAATCCTAATTATATAAATTACTGTATGTGCTTCTGTTAGTAATTTAAAAAATCAGCATACCTGCAAATTTAAGTTTTGGGAATTCTTTTGGATCACCTTGTATATTATATTGTTTCCGAATTCTATCAAGCTCCGACTGTCTTTCTTTTTCAATTTCAGGACTAGCATCGACTAATTTTCCACCACTAAATTTATGAATTGATATTAGAATACGAATTAATGTTAAAATATAGCTATATTTTATTTTTACTTACACGCTCTTTGCCGTATATTCATGGATTTTATCTATGAAAAGTTTTTGTATCGGATCTGTTGCTTTTTGAAGTGCTGGTGCAAGAATACCAATGTTACGTTTGATAGCTTTTGGTACATTTATAGTTAGCCTTTGAGTAAGCATTTTTCCTTAATAAATCAGATATAAAATGCTTGTTTAATGTTTAAACGAGAGAAAACATTAAATAATAAATGACAAAGAACGAAGTTAATATTGAAAATTTTTTAGCATAATTATTTATATGGATTTAAATTTTTAAATAAATGAGAAGTTATACAAATTTTCTCTTATATAATATAGGTTATGTATATTATTACATAAGACATAGTAAAAAAAAAACACAAAATACGATAAAAACATGTTGAAATACAAAAAAGATGAATAATACTATCAAAAATTGTAATATGATTTAAAATAATACAACTTTACCTTTTTATTTGGCAAATCCTGCAAGATACTTGTCAATATATCTGCTACCTTAGAGTATATGTCAATACATAGAGTGTACTCTTACTTGTAATAAGCTACATCAACAAAAATCTCATTCGTATTTACATAAATTACGTAATTAATTAAATTTACACAGTATAATAGATTAAAAATATTAAACTTTTAAAAATGAATCGATCTAATAGAACAATCAAATATATTTATCTAATTTTTATCCTTGTTTTTAATTAATACATATATATTTATAATGATAACACCATATGAAAATTCAATGATTTCCCCCTATTCAATATCTCCTATGTTTGTATGTTAAATTCTAAAAATTTCAAATATTTTATATTAATAATATAGTAGCTAAAAATTTGAATTGGTGCGTACCATCTATTTACTCGTAATATTCTGACTGTGGAGTCGCTCTAGCGGAATACGCACAACACGGCAACGAATCACAGAAGAGAATGCGTACGCTTATCAGCGATTGGTAGATGACATTGCGCCGCGGGATGGGGAGGTGAAGCCCGCTCTTAGTTTCATTCATGAACGTCTGGGTCGTAGTCATAGCCATAATACATTTGTAATCTGTATTGTGTACGGGTATACCGCGTTAGTGCTGCCGATGTGCGTGCGCCTCACAGTTGTACACGTGATTCTTGTTTTGTGTTCAATCCTCTTTTGGTGTTTTTCGTGTACATTATCCGGACAATTGACACAGTTGTGCTTTTCACTGGATTTTACGTTGGAGAACAGGTAAGTGAGCATGTTAAAATCTCAATCCACCTGCGCGATTTACTGCGTGATACGAGCGCGCGAACATGAATCTTCGAAATTTCCGTCGAGTCGTATCGGTTTCGCACGTTATGCCAGTTTCAAGCTTTATTAACATGAAAACGATGTTGCAAAACTGAGACGAAGAAATTCCGAAATATTACGACAGGATAGAACGTAGCGTCGTGAGAAAAGTAATACGCCTACGTTCGGTCAGGCCTATATTTGTTTTGATGAAGTGTTCTCTTAGTTACTTTGCATCCCACGGAGGATCGAGAAACGTATATTATAATCCACGATACATGTTCAAGCGTGTCACAGGTTTTTTCTCGTTTATTTACATCGGTTAAAGCCAAGAGTTTGTGTTCGCAAGTGAATAGAAGTTTTGTTTTTCGTGACTTTGCGTTTGCATTCTTTCTTTTTATTTGGCGTGACCCCTGGCGTAACGACAACCCTTGGTGAACAATTGTACTTACGTATTATCTTGTGTATGCGTTCCGTATGATTTAGAAGATATTCGATTGCCTGCGTCGTATCGTTCATTATTCGTATCTTTGCCTCACTTGAAATATATTTACTAAAAAGAAAGATTGGTTGATATTGTAAAATAGAGATAACGATTAATATTGGTACTCGATCGGAACTCGGATGTGTTCACGTGTTTCAACAAGGTTTATTTCGCGGTGAAATTCGATACTTCGATGTTCACAGGAATACTTCGAAGATTAGCTTTCGAAGACTAGCTTCAAAGCTTTCTGCATTGATTCGTATCGATCGTAAGTATCTCGTACCTGATATCGGAATCGTATCACATCATGCATTACGTGCAGTTTCTTTTTTTTTTTATCATTTTGACCCATGTCTTTACTCTTCGTTTGTAGAATCTTTTTAATGATAGTCCCCTTTGAGTGAAGTGCTCAGCGCTTCATTTCTTGCATAGAAACCAATCGCTAGCACCTTGTGTTGAGATATATCGAAGTAATAATCGATCAACAAATAAACACACGTCTCATAAAATTTCGACGAATGTAATTTCATTTTAACATTTTACAATTTCTCATTTGTATAATGAAAACGCAAAATGAGATAAATTTTATACAAAAAGAAGTTTCTTTGATTTTTATACCTTGAAATTAGTCTCGTATATAACTGTTTAATAGATCATCATTGCCAACCTAATGGAGCTCGTAAAAATTCATCGATTTGTACCAAAACCTTGATCTCGATAACGTGGGGATATTTGATAATTTTCGTGGAATATTTAACTCAGTGTTTTAGATTCTGACAAGCAGTTTTTCCTATGGGTGTCTGCGTAATGTATTTCGCTGGTAATAGCGTGTAGGTAATATTTCCGTTGAACAGTATTTAGTATATATATATGAGCGAAAAAGCCTAAAAAGTGGGGGTGGAGGAGGGGGAGTAAAGAGATAGGAAGCGTAAGGGCAAGAGAAAGAGAGAGAGAAATAAGTGTGTTGGACAGTGTAAGTTAACGCATACGAGGGGATGGCTAGCCTGGCAATTTAAAAAAGGAACGTGATGCCCTCAGTGTTGGTGGGTCGAATGGTTTTTGTACACTTTCTCGGATCTCGGGGAGTAACAGCATGGCAACACTGCGACCTACCATGCTTCTTCTCTCGTTTGTCTCTCTGCTGTTTTCTTCTTTCTACCAAAGACGCGACAAATATCAAAGGCCAGAGAAGACACCATGATGACAAAGCACCAGGAGCGTTCTGACATTGCAGGAGGAACAGAAAGGGAGAAGGTAAAAAGGAAGATGAGGAGAAAGGGAGATAAAGAGATATTCTGGCTAGGAAGAAAGACGGAAAGAGAACCGTTGATCGGTTTAGAGACAAGACTGATTCCAGTTTCGCCAAATAGACTTTCTATTTAAAAAAAAAAAATTAGAAGAAGGAGAATTTCCAGTTTGAGATAAACTGTTGCTTCTTTTTTGACTAGGTCAGTATATTTATCATGCGTACTATGCTCTGTGTGCGTTCTCCAACTGGAGAATTATGGAAAATATTTTCCATAATCGGGCTGTTGAATTTGATTCTTTTATTTAATTGGCAAAGATTTTAACTTTTTCCTTCAAAATATTGGTAGCTTTTCATTTTGTATCTTGAAATTAGCAAACGGATTCTATTTCCTCTAAATGTCGGTCACGTGACCTGTGGCTCGTTTCGTCAATTGTACGACGCGACCGACAATCGTTCGATAGTTGCTCGCCTTCGATTCTCGAACGAAACGTCCGTTTTGCAAATTTTAAACTGGCAGTAGTGCGTCGGTAATTCGCGGCACAGGTTCGGTCAGTGAAACGAATTCGGGAATTGTGGGTGGAGAAAAGATATCGTGGCGGTTTTAATAGGTTCGAAAGTCAAACTCGTAATGAGATTTCTCCTCATATGGGTCCATCGTGAACGCTGAAACTTGCAAAGGGGTTCATACGTCTCGTGACCTGGAAGAACGAACGTCTGCCCGCATCTGGAAACCCAACAGCAGCTCCTCCAAAGATATTATATTGCTCTCTCGACGGAGTTGAAACAATAGACACTTCAATTTCTTGGAGGTTAGGCCAGCTCGTACATAGTGTCTCAGAAAAACGAAACGAAAATCGTGGTAGTCTTGAAACCAGAGGACATTCACTCTTGGATGCATGTAAGAATTATACGCTCGTTCTTCCGCCATTTTGTTAACGTTTGAAACAAGCCTTTTGAACGGAATTTCTTTTTATTATTAAAATTTTTTTGTTTAAATATTTATGATGTTTTTTCGAAACTTTTTTTTCTTTTAAATTATTTTCTTTTTACTTGGGGTTTAAATCAATTGTATTAATTACATTTTTATATTACTAATCAGCTAATTTTCAAAAACCGAATATTCGTCGTCAAGGACAACATCGCCAACAGTGTTGCGTAGTCGCAAAATGTAATAAAATTATCTTTTGATCGACGGATTTTGGAAGGATGAAACACGTATCTGGAATAAAGGTATATAACAATTATAATTTTATGCGAAGCATAATTTACAATTATAAATTACAAACAGGTCGAATAATATTTCAAACAAAGAACTGTTTAAAAATTTGTCTTCTTTCTCTTCCACCTTGGTTCTATTTCATCGGCAGAAAAGTATAGTTTTGAGATAGGTGGTTCTAACTCAGTAACTTCGACGCTACATACGTGAGCCATTCGTTCTTCATTCCTTCTTTCTTTGTTACAGTAGTGAGTAGAAAATTCGAAATGGTACATATAGGTGTTTAATACCTCGTCTAATGGCGGACATGTTTCAGTGAGAAATTCACGGAGTAAAATAAACCAACGGTGTTACTTCTTTACTACTTCGTATCAAGCGATCTTCTCTCTCGCTTTCGGAAACGCAGGTAGACCCATCCGAGTGGAAACGGCATCCCCGTGTTTGCGCGGAAGTCGGTCGGACACTTTAAAAAGACGAAACTGATCGCGTTCTCTTTCAAAGAGAACCTACTGATGATCTTCAGGTATATGTGTAATAATAGAGAGAAATGTTGGGAATTTCAGTAATGCTGAAAGTTTAGACTTTCCATTTTATTGGCTTCTTTGACAATGAGATTTTATCTTACAAATATATTTAATAATTTCTTTTATTGTTTTTAATAATATCAGTCATCAAGCAAAGGTCTTATCTATTGTTGAAAGATAACTAGGCGTTGTAATGTAATTAGTACTTCTGAGAATGTGAGTTTCCATTGAAATATTATCAAATTCTGGTATCTTCTGGAAGAAGATATATATTCTAACATAGTCTATATATAATCTAAAAGTCAATGATCATTAATCAATGTCAAACTCCTTTCGACATATGCTTTCTCTTTGTTATCGATAAAGAAAAACAAGAATTGGTCAATTGGTAATGATAGATGATTATTTTTGATATCAATTTATTTAGAAATACGTTTACACTTTTTATCAGGATACAATTTCACAATTAATTTGCTAAATCTTTGGACTCGAATCGTGTTGTTCTTCGCTCTTCACTCGTCAGATAAACAAATACGAGAAATTATATCTTTCGCCGAGTTAGATTGATAGACGTGTTTTCGAGATAAGAGTTTAGTTCTCAGTTTAGATTACCGAATGAACATTATACGTGTGTTATTAATGCCATAATCGAAAACAGCAACGTCGAAGAAAAGATGTTGTTGACCGCCTCGGGAATATTTTAGAGATTAATTTAGGTTGTCTTGCAGTATTCTCTAGATAGAACATTTCATTCGATTAACTCGTCCTAATAATTCATTGAAACATTAATAAAAATTGTGCCAGCTGCAGGATAAATTTTCACTGAGATGATCGATGATCCATGGTTGGATAGCTTCTTCCTTCGAAAATGTTTCCATACTTTTGACGAAAAGACTTATTCACTCCAACTTATTAACAAAGTCATTGGCGCCTTGTGTTAACGAGAGGGTTAAAAAGAAGCAAAATTTTAGGACTAAAATTTATAGACTGTGTAGCAAGAGTATTTCGGCCGTGTACAAAGAGCCGTGAGAGTCGATGGCGTTGCTCGGGCACTTTTCCACCTACCATCTGTCGTTTGGGCTTCCAGCCGAAGTAACCTGATCTTTGTAGAAACCAGGGTTCGAAAACCTCGTACGGTTAGTGCCTGCAGTTCTTTGCATCCCTTTACGCCCGTGAACTTTTTTTAATCGCAGCTCTTGCTAATCGCGTCTTGTTAAACTTTACGTTTACGATTCTTCGGGTAAGTAATCGTCGATATAAATACAAAACAAAGGAGATCATTAGAAATAACGAAATAAAATAAAATAAAATTTGAAGAGCTAAATAGAACCATACAGTGAGCAACAGGCACGATGTTTTCTCGCGTTTTAGAACAACCGAGGCAAGTGGGGGAAAAAGAAGAATCGGGTGGATGAGTAGGTACGTCACGTGGAAGAGAATTTACTGTGCAAGTTACAAATAAAAAAATGGAAACGGTGATTTAGCATCTCCAGGCCGCGTGCGAGCGCGTTCGTTGCACGGGGGGGGGGGGACTGTCTGTTTTTAAAGCGTTCAAAACGCGACTTATGCTTTCCACGTGCAGCCACCGCCTAAATATCGAATTTACACGCCGGTGATTCGAAGAAAACGCCCTTTGCACGCCAAGCGATTCACTCCTTCGTGAAGGAACGAATTTCATTCGTATGCTGTGTGCCGTGTAGCAATCTGTAGGACGGACTACGAAAGTTTTTTTAACCCGTTGCCTTACGACATTTCTAGTCTTTGATGTTAATAAATGAAAACTGAAGGTGAAAATTAAATCTTGAAAAACCTTTATAAATTGTATACTGTAATTATAATTTTTATTATAATTCTCATTATGTGTAATTGGTAATTCGTTATTGTAAGGCAACGGGTTAAAACACAGTGATTTTGTTGATATTCCTTGCTGACGTACGATTTTTTTGCAGCAGAAATGGATATGGAATCCCTGTACGACTACGGGGAGGAGGAACAGGATTTCTACGAGGAGAGTCCTGGTACCAGGAAGGGTTACCCGATCGATCATAGATCCATCAAGGTCAGTGATACCCTTTGACCGTTCATTCGAGCGAGGCAAAGACGGAAGGAAGACGATCGGCGCGCGTTAAATTTAAACGCGCACGATCCACAGGTGATCCACTCGATTATACCAGATTATTTCTAATTCTGAAGTGACGCGCGCAATTTCGAAACGCGCGAGGGTTCGATCTTACGACGAAAAATCTATCCTGCAGCCGCGTGATCGCGCCGTTGCGTTATTTTCGGGCATCTCTTTCATGTCGCCGCTCGCGTTGCCAGCCATTTCTGTTGTGTAATTGTCGCTACCTCGGACTCGCGATCGTTTTCCTTTTTGTCTCATTCTCACAGATGAATAGAAAGGAAGATTATAAAAGATTAGACGGAATTTTCTGGATGTTGCTTCCAATATTTCTGTTACATAGTCAATCGTGTCTAGTCTCTCGTGAGAAAGGAGTAAACTGTTTGTATATAATTGAAAGAAGCTAGCTATTCTCAGCTTGATATAAAATTCATGGAATCACTTTGTGCAGCGGATAGATGATTTTCGGATCTGTAGAACGACAGGAATTCAACACCGTTCGCGCAAGTATGCTATATTGTTTTGTAAGTTATTAATTAACCCTGATGACTCGTTAGGGGCGTTAGCGTGGTCACGAAACGCGATATATAATTTCTATTAAATAGAGGATGGAGAAGGAGACGCGAGAAGGAGAGCGAGACGCGAAAGAGGCCAATCCTGCTCTATTTTCGCGGTAATAGTTAACGTTGGCAACTGCGTTGGCAGAGCTTGCGATTGTACGAGTGCCAGTAACAATTCGTTCCGGAGCTGCTCTCCGCCTTCGTTTCATGAATGAACGTAGAGCCAGCGTTCGTTTTCTCATCCCCTCTCGCTCTTCCATCACTGCCTGACCTCATGTGGTCTCTCACCGTCTATTGCTTCTAACGCGTTCCTCTTCTCTCTTGATCTCTCTTACTCCGTTTCTCGCTCTTGGGTCCCTCCCTCTATTTCGTTCCCTCTCTCCGTTTCAGTCGGTTGCACACCCTCGCCATCGATCTCTCTTTATTCTCGCTTCTCCGATCGTCTCTCTCTCCTTGCCTCCTCTCCTTGTTCTTCCTCCTACTCGTTCCCTTGTATTTCCTCCTTCGTTTTATATTCCTTCGGGGCTCCTCGAGGCTGCCGGGCCAGGCACGAAATCTTGGGATAGCGTGCACGCTCGTGTAAAGCGTGATGTTTAATTGATAGTTCGGTTGGTAGACTATGTAAATGATCGTTCATGTAATGGGGGGGTTATACAAGTTTCGAATTAAGCGGCTACCTACATATGTACGCGATCGTGTAATGAGTTGTTCCGATGATTTCACGTTGCATTTCAAGTTTCGTT